GGAACCATTCTGAACTGAGCCAGGGGTTATCCTTACATGAACTGGATTAGGGGAGCAGACACACAAATTCCATGCAGTAAATTACTCCACTGAGTAAAGTTACTACACGTTTTTCAAGGAATATTTTTGCCCTGGATCTAAGTGATTTACTATGTTGTGGGGCTGGCCACCTGGTATCTGCTCCAGTTGTACTTTGTAGCAAAGTTAATATACTATGGCATATACAGTGTCGGCACCCTTCAAAGATGTATTGAGCAAAGTGCAACATAAACTGCAACCCAAATAAAGGAACAAAACTAACGTGGAGAAAATAAGTGAACATCTAGAGAATGAAGGGAGCCAGAAGGACAGAGGCAGCAAGAGGTGCATGAAAGTCAGGCCTTGCCTCTGAAGGTCACTTGGATGGGCAGTGTACTGCTGAACACACGCCAGCTGACTGACATTGAAACACCAGTGGGCCTGTGCTATGGGGAGCACCAGAACAGTGCAACACTTTCTCATTTCACACTGAATGCAGAGTGGCATTGACTTCTCTACACCAGGGGTACTCAACCCCTGGCCCACAGGCCAAATTCAGCCTACTGCATCCTGCCATCCAACCTGCAGGGCTCCCCATGGGGCTGGAAATTTGGCAGTGGGAGAGTGGTGGTTCCACATATACAAGATCTGTGCATGCAGGGCTGGGCAAGGGTGGTGCCAGGCTCCAAGGCCCAATCCTGATGTGGGGAGCTGGGAGAGGGTAGTGCCAGGCCCCCAGGACTCAATCCTAGTGCATAGGAGTGGGAAGGGGTGGGGTGGCAGGCCCCCAGGGCCCAACCCCAGAGGTACCTGGGGCCCAAGCCCAGTGGGAGGCACAGGACCAGGCCCTCAGGGCTCAGTCTCAGAGCATGGGAATGGGAGGGGGTGGTGCTGGCCCCCCAGGGACCTATCCTGGTGCATGAGGCTTGATCCAGCCTGTGAACTAGCACCACTCACTCATCTGGCCCACAGGGCCAAGAGGTTGAGCACTGCTGCCCTACACTTTTGATGAAGGTCCTGACTACAGTTGGCAGGGACTCCCCAGACAGACTCTTATAGCTGGCAGGGTACAAAACTGTGAGGGCAGCCCATGGGAACATATAAGCCATGCCATGGTGGGAAAGAGCAAGAAGAGCTCCCTGAGCTCAAGAGGAGATGCTGGGTAGAAAGCATTTTTGAACAGTGAAGTCATTTAACTTCTGAAGAGTTAGGTCACCTAGCTCTGGGTTTAGAAGCCTAGCATTAGGTGTCTGGATTTTGAAAAAAATTTGGCCAAGCCAGCTCTCAGTAGCAAAGCAGAACACTGCACAATGGCAAAGCATGGATGTGGGGGATGGGAGTCAGAGGGGTGTGTGGGGGGAGGTCAGAAGAGAAGGTGACTGACAGGCAGCCTAAACCATGTTATGGGACAGTCCTGCTAAGGACATACACACACTGTACCTTGTTGTCCTGCATGTCTCGGTTGGCTCCATTTTTCAGCAACACTAATGTTGCCTCCACATTGTTAACAGCTGCAGCCCAATGAAGAGCAGATTTACCTATGGAGAAATTCAGTAGCTTCAAGCAACAGACTAAATAATATCTCAAAGCAGTGTGATGCATAAAGCAATACCCCCATGGAACAGCCCCAAGTCTTGAGATCTATACCACTCCTCCCAGTATGGCTATCTCTGCAATGTGTAGGATGCAATGTACATCAGCATGACCAGCTGCAATGACTCTGGTTCCCAACAAGCTTGGAGAGTCCCATCCATGATATACAGTCTCATATGGCACTCTGCTTAAAGACTCAGTGCAATACTCTCTCTCATCACAGTGCAATTGAAAGAGCCTCAGACCTTGATGGCCTCTGCTCTTGGGAGCACCACAACCAGGCATTCTTCAGTGTGTGGCAACCAATCACCAGCATAAAGAACCGACACTTGTGTTCACTGAGCTAGCTACAATGCTAAGAACAGTGTGCGCTACAGCCCAGGTGTTAATTCTTTGTTCCCATCCTATACCATGAGAAATGTTGGAAATAGGAAAGCCCCAGTTTGCCATGGCCCAGCATGCCCTGTGCCACAGTACCGTGGTCATCCACTGCGTTGACATCTGCCTGGCAGTTGATCAGCTCAGCCACCATTCCCTCCACAGCCAAACGAGCTGCCAGAATTAACGGGGTTGTTCCATCATTCATGCGAGCATCCAGGTCTGTTACTCTGTTCCGGATCAAGATCTGACGGACAAGAGAAGAGCAATCTTTCAATTGTCATACAGAGAGACTGAGAATCAGAAAGAAGTTTACACAACACTTAAATAAAAAGAGCAACATCAGTGCTGAAATAAAAGGACCTGGAATACACAAAGGATTACAGTACACATCACTTACATGCTTATCGGATAAATGTATAATTCACTTAACTGCACAGCACAATGCCACAATTTACTGCCCATCGTTTACACTGTAATAAACTTTGGTTATTACCTGCATGCTGGTTAAGTGCATAAGTTGCTTAAATGTGTAACATCTTTCAGCTCTGTCATCAACCTTGTAACTAACTGCGCTCTGGTTAACTACACCAGAAACAGTGAAGGTGAAGCCCCATACTCACTGGCTGCAGCAGCGTCAACTGGGGCTCTGGGCACCCGTGGCAGAGCCCCCCCCACCGCATGCACATGCACACACACACACACACAGTGTGGGGCACTGGGGATTGACCTCCTCCCCCACTTGGCACCCATGCAGCAGCTGTCGCATTGCGTGGGTGCAGTGTGGCTCAGTAGTGGGCTGCGCACTGTCTGGGAGCTGGGGCCACTGCGGCTGAGCGATGCTGGGCTCCGACTGACACATGGAGCTGCTCCAGCTCCCAGACAGCGTGGAGCACCCTGCCGAGCCATGCTGCACCCACACCAGGAGGCAGCTGCTGTGTGGATGCCAGGTGGGGGGTGATCCCCGCTGCCCCCCCACTGTCCCATGCTGCGCGGGGAAGCTCTGCCACGAACCTTCAGAGGCCCAATCCCCGCTGCTACAGCCGGTGAGTGAGGCTTTTTGTTTGTTTGTTTTAAAGTGCCAGGAGGCTTGGCCAAGCAGGGGATGGGGCTGGGCAGGGCAGCAATGGGGGCTTCTCCCATGGCTCCTCTGGCTGTCCCTGCCTCTGCCCTGGCGGGGGGGAGCCCAGGGGCTATGCCCTGCTGCCGCTTGCCCAGCCAGCATGGGGAGGGGGCGCGATGCAGGCACAGCTCACTCCGGGTGGTGGTAGGGCATAGCCCCCACTCCCAGCACTGCCACACCCGCATCAGTGCTGGGAGCAGGATTCTTCCCTGCCACTGCCTGCCAGTTGGCGCTGGGGGGTACAGGATGCGGGCACAGCAGCACTGGGCTATGCCCTGCTGCCGCTTGACCCCCTCTGCCTGGAGTGAGCCGCACCCGAATCCTGTGCCCCCAACCCCAGCTTGGGCAAGCAGCAGCATGGCACAGCCCCCGCTCCTGAATCGGCCAAATCTTTTCCAAAGCTTTTTCCAAATCGATTAGGATGCTTTGAATCAATTAGGAGCTTTTATTCAGTCTCCCAATTCAATTCAGATTTGGTCCCTGAATCGGGCCAAACATCCTCCAAACTGAATCAGCTACCAAAGCTTCACAGAGCCCTACCAGACAGCTTTGGGGCTGCTAATACTGCAGCACTGACAAAAAGGCAAGATTGAACATATCTGCACAAATCATTGGTGCAAACGCTGACTCATTTCAACTGCTAACATCTGAGGAAACCAGAACTTCATCCATTTGGCTTGACAGTAAAGAACATAGTCAAGTGTACCCCTATTCCACTGAGTGCCCTAAAGACAGCCCCTAAACACTACCTGGAAGACACCCTGTGCATCAGCTGCCACAGCTGCATGAAGAGGAGTCCTCCCCATGTTGTCTCGGGCGTTAGCATCAGCACCAGCATCCAACAAGCGTTTTGCTGCATCTGCTCTTGAATAGCGGGCTGCTAAGTGCAGTGCCATCTCCCCAGTGCGGTCTGTTTGAGCTTGCAAGTTAGCCCCTTGATAGATCAGGTCTGTTATTATATTTGCTGAGGAATCCTCCCCATCTTCATCTTCATCACTAATGTCGGAGCTGCCCACACGCAGAGATGCCAACATGAGTGGGGTGCACCCATCTGTAACAAAGGAAATTGTAATGGCAACACCTTCATAGTAGCAGAAGACACGAGGCTCCTGCTGGGCCCTGATATGGGGCCAGCAGGGAATTTTCACTTTCTTCCAGCCATGTCAAACACTTTTCTTATCTAACAATCAAACAAAACAGAACTGGTGACCTCATCTTTTTCAAAGGTGGAGACTTTATACCTAGCACAACTAATACTAACTGTTCTCACATAAAACTTTAAAAAGGTTTTAATAGATCTTATTTATCTGGCGTTGGTTAGCTCCAGAAGAGAGAGATGTAAGTTGCAAAATCATATGGAAGTTTAGAGAAGTGTAAACATGCACTAAAATGTCTGGTAAGACATGGAGAGAAAAGTAATAAGCAAACAAATGTTACCAGTGGCAGCTAACTAGAAGGCAGTATCATAATGCAAAGAAAAAACAGACAGACAGACTCTTGGTGTCCATCACACCAAAAAACTATATAAAAAGAGCATTAAGGTTGAAAAGTCAATCAACTCAGAAAGTAAGAAATGCCTAAAGTCTTGTTACCTGTGCAACTTCAGTTTGTTCTCTTGTGTATAACTATTTCTGATGAAGTCTCTAATTACAAGCTTGTATACTATTTTCCCACAAAATACTTGCCTCATTTAGGGTACAGGATGGACAGCACTCTATGAAAGGGCCAGTGCAATAGAGTTGAATAGTTATGCAATACTGCTTTTTATCCAGTGTATTCTATTTATGGTCCCAGGTTGTTTTCCTCACACATTAATGTAAGTCCTGTGTTGAATATACAAAGTTATGAATTCCTCCCTGGTGCTCTCACATCACAGTTTAGGTGTTTTCCAAACACCAGGTTGATATCGCTTCACGCCATCCCTGACATGAGGGGCTTTTGCCTGTGTTTCACACACAGGGACCTAAGTAAGGTACAATTTAAAGCTCAAAATGTAACTAACTTTTCAGGGCTCAATTTGAGATACCCAGCATCTGAATTTCAGGGTGCTTAACCATCCTATATACTTTCAATGCTTGAGACTCAGTTCCCATGACACTTCATAAGTGTGCATCCCTTCTGCAAATCTATCTCACTGTACTCCCAGAAAAGCCACCATTAGTGGAGCCCTGCAAAAGCTTTGCTCTAAGTAACCTGCCAAACATGACACAATAGCTCTGCAGAAGCAGAGACTGAATCCAGTTCTCCTGGCAGAGCTGTCCCTAGGGGGGCATGGGTCCCAGGGCAAGTCAGCCTGTGCGGGGCCTCCTTAACACTGCGCAGGGTCCATGGGATCCCCACAAAGGCAGGGCATGGGCACAGGCATAATTAAGAAAACCAAAAAACTAACCTATCATGATCAGTGTCACACTGCCTACATTCTGAAATTCACCTTTCTGGACTTCCTTGAAGAAAACTCTGCTATCAGATCGTGGTAATCCAGGTTTGATGCTACTTCCTTCACAATGGACAGAATGGCAAGTCCACCCAACCTCTCTTGAGACACAGTTGTACTTGGGTAGTTCTTAATCATTTTTAATTTGGAAAAACTTCGCTCCCCTGATGCCACTGTGACTGGGATTGTCAGAAAAATCCAGTATGCAATTGCTGTGTTTGGGAAAGTACCACCAAATGATTTAAGAAACTGAAGGGCCTGAAGTGCACTACTTGTTCCTTCAGGGATGAATTCTTGTAGCACCCAAAGCTCTAAGAAAAGGTCCGCACCATTGATACCATGAGATTCTCCGTCAGACAATGCAGTGCCCAAATCTATGCACCGCTTTCTCACGTCACCTTCTGTCAACTTCTCTGAGTTTCTTTACATCACACAGAAAACCGAAACTGTCAGCGTACCCTTGCATTTGTTCAAATCCTGTGATCAGTGACACAAGAGCCTGATCCACGATGACCAGAAAGTAACTGGTTTCAAACACTTTCTTGGGCGAATTCTCCGGCTCCTCCTTACCTCTCTTCGTTTCACACATCATTCTTTGAATTTAGGTTCAACACCCATTTCAGGTGCTATTTCTGTTGCTGTGTTCTTGGCTGAGATAAATCCAGTGTTCCTGTATTTTTGCAAAAAGTCAATTAGTCCTTTGATGTGTGCAACAGCCACATCAGGCTGCATTTCCCTGGATTGAACTGTCTTACTCACAGTGTTTACAGCGAACATGATGTCATACCACACAACCATTGCAAACAGAAATGCAAAATTTTCAAAAATTTGTAGTTGGCCAAGGACTCAGTCTCCCTTAACTTTTGAGTGGTCGCATTCTTCAGCAACTTGAAGCTAGGCGTTCCTGATACCACTTGTCTGGTAGCGGATTGCTTTTAAACTCTCTACTCGACACTCCCACCTAGTGTCTGATAACAGCTTTGGCATTAGAGAGGGAGCACGCACTGTCAGTATTTGCCATCTGTTAGTCGAAGCTGCAAATTCACTGAACAGCTCCAAAAAATGTCATGGCTTTTGAACTACATTTCACCATATCTCCCAATACCAGATTTAAGTTGTGGCAGCCACATGGAGTGAAAAAGGCTTGGCAGTTGAGTTGAAGGATGTGCGCCTATATGCCTTGTTTCTGGCCCTTCATATACCTGACCCCTACAATCACTAATATAGAGACCACATCCATCCAGTGGAGCTATGACAGAATCTGACAGTTCTTGTCCATTTTTGTCTTGAACCAGAAGGAAGTCAATAAAATTCTCCCTTACCTTCACTTCTTCAGAAGTCACATCAACATAACAAAGCACAAGGGACACCTGCTCTTGGTGACTCAGATAAAGGGTACAGTCAAGAATAACTGCAAAGAATTTTGCAGTCTTCACCTGTTCAAGAATTTTTTTCTTCATCTGCAACACCATCATCGAGATCAGTTCATTTTAAACACAAGGCCCAAGATAATGGTCATGGATTTCTTCATTTTTAAAGCATTGGACCTGTTCTCGCATCATAGGATCAAATTTAGCTATCATCTCAATTAATCCCAGGAAGTTACCATTGTTATGTTCATAAAGCCTTGCATTTGTTCCACAAAATGCTAAGTTATGCTCAGCTAGGTACTTGCACAACTGCTATAACACGTGTCAACACTGACTGCCAATGTTTCTTCTCCTTACATATTTCTCATAGTGCGTACTCATTTCTCCTCTTTATTTCAATCCATTTTGTTGAGTTTACAATATGCTCATTGGATAATTTGTGAGATTGCAATCTGCCATTGAGATGTGTCCCGGAATTGCAGCCTCCCTTTACCAATTTGAGTGCCATTTTTGAGCCATACAATTTGCAGCAGAAGCAAAAAGCTGCACCAGCTTTCTTCCAGTATACCAGCCAATTTCTTTCAACCCTTTCTCCATTTGGCAGACTCCATGTGTATAAGTCTTCTGAAAAGTGTTGATTGTCATCATTCTTTGGAAAAACATAGTTATTACCAGTTATTTTCTCAGGCCTTCTCTCCACTAAAACGTCTACTGTCTTGTGGTCGAGTAAATATGGCCAATTTGCTGGATCATACATATTCTTCAGGGGAAATAGTGTTGTCAGATTTTTCTACGTAAATAGCCTATGCACATTTTGCACTATCGTCCTTTTGCTCAGCCTGGATACAAATCGCTGGAGTCCATTAATTTAGCATTTTCCTCAATGCCTACACACTCAGATGGGTCACAAAATTGGCTGGAGGGTCGCACCCAGAGAGTGGTGGTGGACGGATCTTTTTTGACCCAGAGGGATGTGGGCAGTGGGGTTCCCCAGGGCTCAGTCCTTGGGCCCACACTGTTCACCATCTTCATCAGTGACTTGGATGAGGGGGTGAAAAACACCTGGTTCAAATTTGCAGATGACACTAAGATGTGGGGAGAAGTGGCCACACTAGAAGAGAGGGACAGGCTACAACTAGATCTGGACAAGTTACATGGGTGGGTGGATGAGAACAGGATGGGTTTCAATACTGACAAGTGCAAGGTATTAGACCTGGGGAGAAAGAACCAGCATCATACCTACAGGCTGGGGAACTCCCTTCTTGTCAGTGCAGAGGCAGGAAAGGATCTTGGTGTTACTATTGATTCCAAGATGAACATGGGCCGCCAATGTGAGGATGCAGTCAGTAAGGCTAACTGCACCTTGTCATGCATCCACAGATGCATCACGAGCAGGACCAGGGACGTGATCCTCCCCCTCTATGCAGCACTGGTCAGGCCACAGCTGGAGTACTGCGTCCAGTTCTGGGCGCT